TCAGCGGGGTCTGGTACCCTCCACGCCTCGCCGGGGCTGTGCCGGGGCGCAGCAGCAGAGCCGGGGCGGGGGGCCGGGGGTCCCTACCTGGCCGGGCCCCTCCATGGCTCCGGGCTCGGCCCCCACTGCCGCCTCGCTGCGTCCCGGCGCTCAGCCCGGTGCCACCATAACCCGGCTCTCTGCGGGGCAGGCACGGGGGAAACCAGAGAGAACATGTTAGCAGAGACTGGGGCATCGCTCGGTGCCCCCCGGGATCAGGGTTTGTCCCCTGGGGTGGGGCTGGGGCTGAACATCGTGGCCCTTCCCGCAGTCCCTGCCTGCCTAAACTGCTCCCCACGGGCTGGGAGGTCCCAGCGTTGGGGGTCCCCGGGGAAGTCATGCCCTGCCCTGTCGCCATCCAGGATGGGAACCGACGTCAGGCGACGGCAGAGCCCCGGCAGCTTCCCAGCAGGGACGTGGCATCCTGCCCTGGCCCACCCATGCCCATGCACACCATGCCCTGTGCCCAGGGGGCAGGTCCTGTACAGACCCACACCCAGGGACTGGGGTCCTGCACGACCTGTCACAAGTGGGTGGGGGTCCCATATAGACCCACACACATGGGCTGGGGTCCTACACGACCCTATGGGTGGAGTCCTATATAGACCCATGCACACGGTTGGGGTCCCACACAACCCCTTGCACGTGGGTGGGGGTCCAATATAGACCCACACACAGGGGCTGGAGTCCCACACACAGTGGCCGGGTCCCCCAGCAACCGCCCTCCCCCAGCCCAGTGGCACAGTGCAGGGGGGAGAAAGGGAAACTGTGGCACAGCTGGGCTCATGGGACACCCCAAAACAGGACAGCATGAGTGCCCCAGAGCCGCCCAGGGTGCACAGCTGGGGAGGCCCCTGCTGCCGCCCCCCCATCAGCACCCAAATCCTCTTCAGCACCCAGTTCCTGCACCCCCTTTCACCCCCCTGGTTCCCACTTTGCCACCCCCCGGGCTGTGCCCCCCACTCCCCTCCCGCAGATGCCCCAGGGCTGTGTCGGGGGACAACCGCCAGGGGGCGCCCTGTCCCCGCACTGCACCCCCCTTTGCCCCCCCCGGGCAGCCCCGGAGGGACCCGGGGGTCCGGACCCCCCATCCCCTTAAACCCTCCCACCCCATGACCTTTGTCCCCCAGCCCAGAGCCTCTGGGAGGGGGTGTCCTGCCCCGGGACTCCCAGATCCCCTGTTCCAGACTCCCGTGGGGTCCCCCGCATTTTGGGAGGACCAAGAACCTCTGCTGTCCCCCACCACCCCGGCCCAGGGACCCCTCAGGGGGGCTCAGGGGCAAGGGCAGGGGTGCTTCGGGGAGAACCAGCCCCCCCAGATCTCACCGGGGTGATGCAGGAGCTCGCTCCCGGCCGGGGGGCGGCGGGAGCCGGGGTGGGGTCCCCGACACCCGGCAGGGGGCCACGGGATCCCCGATGGGGCCACGGGATCCCCGGTGGGGCGCAGGAGCCACGGCGGGGCCGCGGGACCGACGGCCGGCTCCGGACCCGGCCTCCTCCTTCCTGCCCCGCCTGGCCCCGGGGCCGGCGGCCCCCGGCCCCCCAGCCCGGCCTGTCCCGGGCCCCCCCGGCCCCCCCAGCCCCGCCGGCGGCTCTTGCATCAGCCCGGTGCACCGGGCTGCGCCCCGCTGATAACTCCCGGCACCCGCTGTCGGCCCCCGCCCCGCTCCACCCGCCGCCCCCCGCGCTGCCCCGCAGCGCCCCGAGGCCGGGGTGAGGGACTGGGGACCCGAAGGGTACTGGGGCACCTGCCAGCGAGGTCACCTGGACCTGCTGAATCCATCCTTGGGCCACCTCACACCCTACAGAGCCCATATGTCCCGCAGCACATGTATGAGATAGAGCCCACACGTCCAGCCTTGCACATCACAGGGCACAGGACGGAGCACATCCTACATCATGACCCTCCTGCATGGTACAGAGCCCCTGTGCGTGGGGTGGAGTCCATACCTCCCACACCACACACCCCATGTACAGAGCCCGTGTCTCCTGCACCACACAGCCAACGTGCCCCCTGTGGAGCCCACACATCCCACGCCATGAATGCAGCGTGGCTGGGATCGCTCCTGCAGTGGGTACAGGCTCATAATGGAGCCCAAACATCCCATGTCATACAGCCAGAGTAGCTCAGGACCGGGCTCACACCTCCTACATCATATATCCAGCACTGCTCAGCGTGGAGCCCATACATCCCACACCATCCACACAGCGTGCCTGGGATTCTTCCTGCAGCAGGTACAGTCACCATGGCTCAGTGTGGAACCCACATATCCCACACCATCCCTGTGGCATGGCTGGGGTCCCTCCCGCAGCAGGGAGCCCCATGGCTCCATATGGAGCCCATACATCCCAGACCATCCACTCAGCTCAGCCGAGGCTCAGCTCCTTCCCACAGTGGGTACAATCCCTGTGGCTCCATATGGTATGGAAGCCATACATCCCATGCCATCCACACAAATGTGGCTGCAATCCCTCATCCAGCAGGTACCTGACGTGGCTCAGTATGGAGCCCATACATCCCATGCCATCCTCACAGTGTGGATGGGGTCTGTCCTGCCACAGGTACCCCCATGGTTCCACATGGAGCCCATACACCCCATGCCATCCACACGGCACGGCTGGGATCCCTCTCCTGGTTCCATATGGAGCCCACATATCCCAAGGTATCCACGCAGTATGGATGGGGGCCCTCCCCCTGTGCCTCCATAGGGAGCCCATACCCCCCATCCCGCAGCACCTCCCACCCCAGCACCCACTTGTTGACAACCCTCCACCCCCCACCCCACACCGAGGACACCCCAGAGTGCCCTCCCAGCCCTCCCTGCCCCCCCCATCCCCCAGCCCACCCCGTCCCCCCACTCCCACCCCAGGGACACCCCGAGATGACCCCGCACCTACCCCTGGGGTGCCTCCGGACGCCCCTGCCCGCGCTCTGCCTGCGGCTGCCCGGGCTGCGAGACACCAATGCCCTGAGTCACGCTCTCACCTCCCTAATCTCGCCCCCCTCGGGCTCACCCGGCCCCCCCGGGGCCCCCCGTAAACAAGATTATCGGGGTGCAACATCTTGAGGCGTGAGGCTGTGCCCCGCCTGTGCCCCGCTGCCCCCCCGTCCCTCTGCCTGCCCCGGCACCACCGGCCCTGCTCCCGCTGCCCCTCCATATCTTGTTTACCTCCGGGTTTCCCTGCGGGGAATCCCCGGGATCCCCCTGCTTGTCCCCCCTTCCCACGGGGTTGGGGTGTTCTCTTTTTTTCCAAAAAAAAAAAATTAAAAAAAAGGGGGTTCCCGGGGAGGTTCCTCGGGGAGGAGGAGCGGGGGGGGGACACGGAGATGGGGGATGTGGCTGGGTGTCCGTCTGTCCCGTGGGATTGGTGTCATTGGGGTGTCCTGGAGAAGGGGTGGAATAGGAAGGGCTGAACATGTGTGTGTGTGTGCACACGTGTGTGTGCATGTGTGTTAGTGCACATCCATGAGCACATATGTGTATGTGTGAGGGCACATCCATGAGCACATATGTGTATGTGTGAGGGTACATCCATGAGCACATATGTGTGTGTGTGAGGGCACATCCATGTGTGCAAGTGTCTGCGCATCCACGTGTGTGCATGTCCACGTGTACATCCATCCCTCTGTGGACAAGTATGTATTTGCACATGTGTATTTGCACACACATGCGTGTGTGTGTGCACATCTATGCATGTGTGCTCATGCACACGCCTGTGTCTTTATATTCACAGCCTTTCCAAAGGGGTCCTGGGCCCAAATCCCAAACCCAAATCGCAGGGACAAGGAGGAGTGAGCCTTACACACACACACACACACACACACACACACACACACAGAGTCCCACAGCAGCCCCCCAGTGCCTGGGGACACCCATGGGGTCCCCTACAGGGTCCCTCTGGCCGTGGGGTCACACCAATGCTGTCCCCCCTGTGCCAGCCCGATTTGGGGAGCCCATCCAGGCAGGGGGTCTGTCTCACGTTTTTGGGACCCAGTGGCACCCCCAGCGGGGTGGAGGGTGGTGTTGAGTCTGGGTGCCCCGATAATGGCCCGTGGCCTTATCTGGGTGCTGCCAAGGGCTCCCCTCCCTGCACAGCCATGGGGATTTTGGGGGTCCCTCCCCTCCATGAGCCCCACTGCCCCCCAGCTGGGTACTGTGGGATGGGGTCCTCTGGACAGGGGAAAAGGGGGGTGTGAGCACCCTGTGGGGCACAGACAGGGGGGATTTGTCCCAGCAGGGGGTGTCTCCCCACAGTGGCCATGGGGGTTTTGGGGGTCCCACCTCCCACTTGCGTGCTGCTGCCCCCCCAGCTGGGTGCTAAGGGTTGGGGTCACCTTGGCAGGGGCAGAGGTAGGTGCGGAGCCCCCCTGGGGGCACAGAGAGGAGGGTTTTGTCCCCATGGAGGGTGTCTATCTGCTGCAGGTGACCCAGATTTATCTGGGTGCTGTGGGGCTCTGTGGGTGCCTGTGGGATTCACCCCCCTTTCCCGATTTCCCTGTCACATCAATGGGGAAACTGAGGCACGGTGCAAAATGGGGGTGCGGGGCCCCCCCGCACACAGTCAGCCCCCCCTCCCCCCCCCGTGGAGGGGGTCCCTCGCCCCCCGCAGACCCCTCAGGGAGGGGTGACACTCAAACCCCCCCAAAACGGGGATCAGGGCAGGGAGAGGGGTGCCGAGCTCAGCCTGGGGTGGGCGAAGAACCCCCCAAAAGCCCCAGGGGGGCTGCCCCCTGCCCATGGCTTTCTCCAGGGTGTCCCCACAGCTGGCACGTCATGTCGGGAGGGGGGGTGGGCTGCGACCCTCAGAAAGGTGGAGGACTGCTGCCCCCCCTTTATGCTGCCCCCTCCCCCCGGGGGAGAGATTTGGGGGGCCGGGGGCGGGGAGAGCATCCCTTTGGAAGGAGGGGGGGGCGGCGCACGGCCCGTGGCGTGGGCACCGGCGGAGCAAAGCCTGCGCGGCGCGGGGGGCAGCGGCCGTGGGGCGGGGGGGTCCCCACGGCGGGGAAGGGGCATCGCCCGCGGCCGCGGCGTCTGGGCCGCTGGATGGAAGCGAGCTGGGTGCCGGCTGCCATGGCTCTGGGGCTCTCCTCCAAGAAAGCTTCCTCCAGGAACATCGCCGTGGAGAGGAAAAACCTCATCACCGTCTGCAGGTGGTGGTGGGGGGCACCCCGAAATGGGGAGGGGAAAGGAGAGCGGCGGGGGGAGGGAGAAGGGACCACCGCGGTGGGGATGGAGGAGATGGGGGGCGGGGAGGGGAGGGGGTGGGGAGGAGGGTTGGGGGGTTCGTTCCCCCCCCTCCCTCCCTCAGCCGCCCCTTCACCCTTTGGGGGGGTTTCTTGTTGCTGCCGCGCTTTATTTTGGGGGGGGGGGGGGGGGAGTTGGGATTGGTGGGGGGGGGGGGGGGGAGGGGGATGCGGGAGTGGGGGGGCGCGGAGCTGCGGGGCCGCGGGGCTGCGGGCGGTGGGGCCGGGGCTGCGGGGCTGGGGGGGTTCCGGGGGGACGTGGGAGGCTTAGGGGGGCTGGGGGAGCTCCGGGAGGGTCGATGCGGGGATTGGGGACACAGCGACAACATGGAGGCGGCCGGGCAGGGATGTCGGGGGCCGCCGAGGATGGCGGGGGGGTGCAGGAGGAGTGGAGGGTGTGGGGGGTGCCGGGGGCAGTGGAGTGCCGGGGGGGGGGGGGGGTGGGGGGGGCCCCGGCGGGGGGGGGGGGGGGGGGGGGGGGGCACCAAGGCCAGGGGCAGCCTGGCAGGGACCCCCCAGGGCCTCGTGTTGGGCTCCCCACCATGGCACAGGGCACCTCCAACCCACATCACGACATGGGGACCCTCTGG